ACAGTGCAGTCATGTCCCATCAGAACAACAGAAAATATTCAAACGACAACAATTTGTTAGTTTTTTGCATATTTGTGGATCATTGAGCTGAACTTTGTATCCCCCCCCCCCCCCCCCCCCAGGCTGGACTCCTGGAAACATTATTAATAAACAGCCATAAATCTTCTCATTATATGACCCCCAGCAGCTGCTCTGTCCAGTAAAACCATCAAACCATAAACACAGAAAGAGGAAGTGTTTGGCTCCTGTACACTCGGGGGTTCTCAAACGGTGGGGCGGGCTCTCCTGGGGGGGGGGGGGGGGGTGCCGGCCTGCTGGTTAATTTTAGTGTTGTATTATTTTCACAGTTCAAACGAAACTTAAAGTTAGTTTGTGAACTTAACAAGAAATTATTAAGGAAAAATGCTTGAGTGGCTAAAATGTTGCGTTCAAGAGCACACTTCTGCAGGAATATTCAACGCTCTGACACGATGTTCTGGGGCTGGGTGGACAGAGGAGGGGGGGCACGGTTATAATTCACTTCTTTACGCTCTTAGAGCAACTTTTTGATTCTTCTGACAGGAAATCAAACATTTATTGTGTTTTTCCTTCAGAAAAATGACATTTAAATTATATTGTTTTTCCTTTTGGTCTTTGATATGAATACCACACAATTTTATTTATAGAGCACTTAAACAGCAACAGTCCAACCAAAGTGGTGTGCAGCAGAAACAAACAAGCAAAGCACACAGTCAAAAATACATAGATCCAAAAGGAATAAGATTATAACTAAATGGCTAACACTGTAAAACACAGACAAGTTAAAAACAAATTACATTGTGTCGAAGGCCAGGGAATAAAACTGAGTTTTTAAACAAGACTTAAAAACTGTGAGGGAGGGGGGCCTGCCTGACATGCAGGGGTAACAGTCCACAGTTTTGGACCTGCAACAGAGAAGGTCCCGTCACCTCCGAGCTCCAGACGGGTTCCTGGAACCAATAAAAGCTTCTGATCTGCTGACCTCAGGGAGCGCTGTGGGACATATGGCTGCAGCAGATCAGCAAGAGAAGGTGCAGAAATGTTCAGAGTTAAAAATATACAGAAGAATTTTGAACTGAATTTGAAAGTAGAGATGCACCAATCCGATCCCAATATCGGTATCTGTCCCAATATCCCCCCCAAAAAAAAACTTCTGGATCAGGTATCGGTGACAATGTGACCGATCCATGACTGCGCAGATCTATTCACTCTAACTCTACGCTTTGTGCTCTGAGTGACGTCACGTGCTAGCTAACCCACCGCACAGATCGTTTTCAAAATGGAGCGAGCAAAAGGATCAGCCATCTGGAACTATTTCACACTACCTCAGCCAACACATTCGACAGCTATGTGCAATACGTGCACAGCGACGGTTCCAGGGGGTGTCACTAAAACTTCCAGTTCTAACACTACCAACTTAATCAAGCATCTCCAGAGACTTCACCCTAAAGAGCACTTAGTGACTCTTTGTTTCTCTAACGGGCTAGAGATAGAGGTCATTACAGTGGTTCTTGATAGTGCCATTAGGAGGAAACAACATGACCTCTGTCTTTTTATCATTAAAGCTGAAGAAATTTAAAACCATCTAGTCCCTGATGTCAGCCAGGCAGTCAAGAAGAGGTGGATTAGAACGTGCACTAGTGTGCTTCAGAGGGAAATACATTTGAGTTATCGGTGTAGAGATGAAAGGGGTCATGCTTACAAAAAATAGCACCTGCTGGCTGCAGGTATAAAGAAAAGAGAAGAGGACTGAGGATGGACCCCTGTGGTACCCCTCACCGAAGAGATGCCGATGTTGAACTAAAGTCCTTGATGTTCTGTCAGAAGGGTAGGATCTAAACCATTTGAGGGCTGACCCTGTGATGTGCACTACTTCAGCCTAGAAATGAAATGAGGATATCGAGGTCGATGGTGTCAGAAGCAGATGTGAGGTCCAAAGCAGATGTGAGGTCCAAAGCAGATGTGAGGTCCAAAGCAGATGTGAGGTCCAATGGGACAAGCAGCACAGAATCACCTGCATCCGCGGCCAGGAAAATGTCATTAAAGCCCTTGAACAGAGCAATCTCAGTAGAAGCATCTGATCTGCTGACCTCAGAGAATGACCAAAATTATTTTATTCTGAATTTATACAATTAAAAGAACAATTACAATATAAAAACAACCAAAACCAGAATTGGTCTGAAGCTTATCTGCACCCATTTCGTGCTAAATTCAAAACTCCACAAGACGATAAAAACGTCAAACAAATAATTCAGACTCAGAAAATAAAGTTCCTGATTTTAAATAAATTTAAATTTTCACATAAGAATCACTGAACAATCTATAAGTTACGTTTTGAAGGTTTTAAAACCCAAAACCTGCAGCTCATCACTCCGACCGCTCCGTACCTTCGTATATAATAAATTTAAATATTTCACTCTTTTTCAAACGAACGACGAACTTTAAATATTTATAAAGCCCTCTAACATCATGGTGTTCCCTGCTAATTAAAAAAATACTGAACTCAAGCAAAGAGGTTGTTCACATATTTGTCTCTTTAAAATGTTTGTAAATTAAAAATAAATCGTAAGGGTATAATTTATTTATTCATAACGAGTCTTTATGAGCGATTAGAAAAGCTCCTTTTAAAGTTTAATTTCCGAGTTTATTATCTTCAAACATTTAGTGCTTAAAAATCCTTACATTTATTTTTTTCTTTCACTTTAAGGTTTATATAAATGATTGTGAACCTTTTTTTTTTGCTGATAAACTGAAAACGTAACGAACTGCCTCCTCCAAGTTCTCGTTCTCCGTTTGCTTTGAAAGCACATTCTGCCTGCAGTGAATCCCATTAATCCATTAATCTCGTCCTGTGAGTGAAAAGCCTCCAGATTATTCTCTGCACTCCAGAGGAGAGGACACGTGGACATGAGGTCATTCTGGAAGCATCGTCCGGCTGGTCAGAGGCGGAAGACACGAGACGTTTGCCCGTTTCACAGCCGTTTTATGCACATGATCGTGGGAGATGATGAAATTATTGTGTCAAAACTGAAACAAGTCCGGCTCCAGATCTGTTCCCGTGGATTTGGTCTCAAATGTCGACTCTTAAATCTGAACTCAGAACGGTGTGACCTTTGACCTCTGAATGGCAGCAGGAGAGGACAAACGTTCTTCCTCGTTTTGTTTCAAGTCTGTTGTTACACAAATGCATTTTTCTCCGCAGCACGGTGGCGCAGGTGGTAGAGCTGTCGCCTCTCAGCGAGCAGGCCGCCCCGGTTCAAACCCCGGTCCGGGGGCCTTTCGGGGTGCAGTTTGCATGTTCTCTCCGTGCATGCGTGACCTTTCTCCGGGTACTCCGGTTTCCTCCCACAGACCAAACACATGCATGTTAGGCTGTCTGGTAACTTTGAATTGTCCCTAGGTGAGAGAGAGAATGGTTGTTTGTCTCTGTGTGTCCCTGTGATGGACTGGACCTGTCCAGGGTGTCCCCCGTCTCCCACACAGTGATAGTTGGACATGGGCACCAGTGACCCCTGTGAATGGAAGAAGCGGGTAAAGATGATGGACGGATATTCTTCTCCTCTTGTTAGAAACTTTACCACCCTCTCATCATGGTTTATTTATTTATTTATTTATTTTGTTATAGTAACTTTAAGACGGCATGAAGCAAACCAGAGGACCGTCTCGGAGGAGTTGACGGGGGACAGGGCGGGCCCCAGCGGCCATCTTAGCACCAGCAAACCGTTGTTTTTTCTTCCAGTATGCCGTTTGTGGAAATCAGTTTGTTTGTGGCTCCTCAGATTGAAGAAGTCCTTTGGATGAAGGACGAAACGCGTCAGCAATAAATAAATTAAACGTTCAGATGACCTGATTGAACGATGTTGGATTTTAATCTGGATTATTGAGCATGATCTTTGGTGCTTCGATACATCATTTCTGACATTTTTCTTTATCTCAGTTTATTTCCCTACAGAGAATAAAATGACCAGCAGATTAAGAAAAGCAACAGGAAAGGAATGATCCGAGCCGCCTCAGTCCTCCTCCACCAGCGCTTATCCGAACCACAAACAGCTGAAGGCTTTTTGCATAAAACGACACATGGAAATCAAGTCATCAAAGATAGAAAGAGGAGAACAAACGGTTTTACATTTGGAGAATGAAGCACGGTCCATGAGCATCTACAAAGTCCTGACAGTAACAAGTGGATCCGGTTTTGTTTTAGCCGTTTACTGAGGAGAACTTGAGGTAAAATGACTCTCAGTGATACCCGATAGTGCAACAGATGGACTTATTGTACACCTGTCTGCTCCATTTTCTCATTTTAATATTTTACAGAAGAAAAAAAAAGATGTTTTTACTAAAAGGGCATTAAAACACATCACATCAACTGTGTAAATGTAAGGAAAAGAAAAGAAAAATGGTGAGAATGGTTTCAATCATAAGGAAAAAAATGGAAAATGTACCCACCGTCACTTTATCTAAACGTCTTTTAACTGATCTTTAACAAGAATTTGTTTATTTCTGCTTAAAAATAAAGAGCCTAATTTTGCTGACATGTCTGCAAATTAAATTTAAAAAAGTAAACTCTTTAAAATGAGGTGATTTATTCCCAACGTGGTCTTAAAAATATAAAGTATTAAGCAAATTTAATGGTGAAAAGTAAATACTTTAAGATCACGTTAAGCAGATGGTCGCTTGTCCTGAGCTGGTTCTGCTGGAGGTTTCTTCCTCACGAGGGAGTTTTTCTTTCCACTGTCGCCTTCGTGCTTGTTCAACATGAGCTCAACTCAAAGCTGCTCCTCACATAAATAATGTTACATTATTATTTTACACATGCATGTTTCTGTTCAGTGACCTGAGACGACTTCTGGTGTGACTTGGTGCTTTATAAATAAACTGAATTGAATTTAAAAATAAAAAGGTAAGTTAACTTAAGTGCAAACCAGATGGACAAGATGAAGAATGCTAACATCAGAGCTGCAGGTGTCAGTGGGCTGACTCACCGGTGTTGCAGTACTGCAGCAGCAGGTTGGTGCTGTCATACAGACTCCCACACGAAGCCACCCTCTCAGACATCCTTCACTCTTCTTCTTCTTCTCCGCTTTATTCTTCTTCTTCTTCTTGGGCTCCGGGTCCTCCCGCCCTCAGCGGCCGGGTCCTTCGTCCTCTCTTCGCCCCTCTCCGTCTCGTCTTCACGCGGTCACCCCGTCCCGTCTCCCCCGCGTTCACAAACATCCACGCACAGCCCTTCACCTGCTTCAGTTTCGCCGCCTCTCCCGCACCGGCCTCACCGTCTGAATCAAGCTAACATTTAGCTACAAGGCTACTTCCTTTTATACTGTCAAAATAAAGGTATGTTGCCAAAAACAAAAAGGCTTATCCTAACATTGTCCCTTATAATATAAAACCATGAAAATCTATAAAACGCTACTCTCTAATATTGATTGGAAATGTTTTTTTTGTTTTTTTTGTAATAAATGACAATTTGTGTGCTCATTCACAGTGTTAGAGAATACATGTGTTTTGACACTTTGGATTAGTAGTGTACATTTTATTATTTCTATCTATTTTCTAGCTAGCCATTTGTCTACTTTTAGCTTTTAATTACCCTTTTTACTTTAGCTATACCTGTTAAGCTATAGATGTAATGAAATAAGCAATATCAACAAATATTTCTGATTTAGCATAAAAAACCCTAAACTAGTAGAGCCATTTCATTATTATACTATATAGTTATATGTTCAGTATTATTTTTATTTTATTTTTTTTGTCTTCCTTGTAAGAAAAGTAATTTGTGTCGCTCTTTTGTTGTTGGCGTGGTCAACGCTTTTATTTTGAAAGGAGAACAACTCGTTTTCCGCTTACGAGAACGTCTTCCGGTCTATCCTGCCTCGCGTACGGCTGTTACTATGGCAACAGCCTCTCAGCCTCTGCCGCTTCGTGATCGTTGGAGGCAGCAACAGATGCAGAGTAAGACTGTTAGTCCGAACTGCACAGAACCGAGCCGGGGGTTCGGTTTCTGCCACGCGAAATGTGAAGCCGGAGCTGCCGCTGCGCCTCAATAATTCATGGAGGACACCTGACGCAGGTGTTCGCAGGAGGAGTGGGGGCTTCACTCCACTGCTGTTGTCTTGTGCAAAGCGTTTTCTTATTTAAGACACATTGTAATATTATTTTGGAACCATTAATTCTCATTTTAGAGTTTAATTCGTAACAAGAAATTCTGTTTTAACTGTAAATGTCACACAATTGAACTTGAGGTTTCTCAAAATGACCACTAGATGGCAGTAGCAATTATTATTTCATGTAATTAGTTCCCAGAACGTTTTTTTTATTATTATTATTATTTATAACATGTAAATGTTTTTGTATACATTTCGTTAAACCATAGTGAAAATAAAAATTATTAATTTTAATGACAAACCGTCGTTGTTTACTGCTTTATTTAATAAATTGTTTTTATGCACAAAACTATTTGGAATACGTTCACATGTGCGGAATTTTAATTTGTGAACTTCAGATGTAAAGTGAAGTTTAGAATTAGCAGAAAAAGCTTAATTCAAGTCTGTTAATGAATGAAACGATTTGGAGTTATAAGACTTGTTGTTCTGAATCAAAAGCTGTATAATTCTGTTAAAAACCACTACATTAATCTCATTCCTTTAACATTTACTTATACGGGTTAGTCTCAATGAGTCACGATTATTATGAGGTTCCATTAGTGCCAGAATATGTTTATATGGTACTAATGGAACCTCATATATACACGGGGAGCAGTTCAGGATTAGGTGTCCTGCTCAGCCACGAGATGTGCAATGACTGGGGATCGAACCATCTTGCCCCTATCACCTTACGTATGCACCTAACATATCACCTTACATACACAGCACGCTACATACACACTTTAGACACAAACATATTTTTGGCACTGATGGAAAACTCCACACACACTGCTGCAGACATGGAGGAGAAGGGCGGGACCTACAGCGACAGTCTGCATTCTGATTGGTTGAAACACACTGGAATCTAAATATTCTGACTGGTTAGGCGGCACGGTGGCGCAACTGGTAGAGCTGCTGCCTCTCAGCGAGCAGGTCTCTGGTTCAAATCCCAGTCCGGGGGTCTTTCTGGGTGTTTTCACGTTCTCTCGGTGCATGCGTGGGTTCTCTACAGGTGCTCCGGTTTCCTCCCGCAGACCAAAAACATGCATGTTAGGCTGATTGGTGACTCTAAATTGTCCCTAGTGAGAGTGAGAATGCTTATTTGTCTCTATGTGTCTCTGTGATGGACTGGAGACATGTCCAGGGTGTACCCTGCCCCTCGCACTGTGATTGCTGGACAAGGGCATCGGTGACCCCCCTGACCCAAAATGGAAGAAGCGGGTAAAAGATAATGGATGGATGGCTGGGTGGTTAGGCAGGTTATCCAACTTTCTTAACCTCTGTTTTCTGTCATGAACCAGAGGCCGGATCGCAAACAACAACAACAACAACAACCACTGAGAGGGTTAAAAGATTTATTGTGAAATAAAGTAAAACTCTGGAGTAGGTCCGGTTCCGGGCTGGTTCCGATCTTCTGATTGGTAGTTCGAGATTGGGTAGTGTTGTAGTGGCGGGCTGCCAGTAGAAGTAGAACTGATGTTAAGGTCCACTGGAACGGAGTCCAACAGGCTTGCAACTAAAAGATAAAGGTTAGTAGATGCAGGGGGAAAAAGACTAATTGGGGAAATGAATCTGTGGGAATCAGATTCAGGGGTAAGGATAAGTCCGTGATACAGAATGAGCTTGACCTTTAATCCGTGATCCAAAAAACAGTCAGAAGGGAAAGGCAGAGTTCATACCGTGAAGTCAGTTGTTCAGCAGAAGTATCCAGTACGTGATCCAAAAAGAGAGTCAAAAAACAAGAGCATGAGTCGGTACCTGATCAGATGAGCAAAAGCAGACGAGGGCTGAGGCAAAAGCGTGGTCGTGGTCAAGGCAAGGGTCATGAACGTGATGAGTCAATCAATGGAATGCTGGAAAGTCTACTGCTGATGAGACAGGATAGAGAATCTGGCCCAGACTGAGAGGAATGAGTGAGCTTAAGTACTGACTGGACCAGGTGGTGGAGCTGTGGGATAATGAGCGGTGACAGGTGACATGAGTTGAGTGATTACTGAGTGTGCAGCATGACAGAGGAGCTGACAGAGAGCAGAGCTATGACAGTTTTCATAAAGAGGCACCCTCATTTTATGTGGGTTACACACGCTCCCGTGGCCACCATTTGGCAGCCAATCGATTTTTGGCACAACACCGGTCCACATTTCCAGGTTGTCAGCGGTGACTCATAATAGATGCGACATATTTATGGATTTTTCCACTTTATTGGACATATTTGAACTGATGCGATGTTTACGGCAGAAAATACGTTACGGTCTTTCAACTCTTTCTCCCTTAAAGAAACTTGGCCAGATCGCATGAATTAACTGTTTTTGTGATTTATTCTACCTGGATGGTTGAGCGTACAAACCTTCTTTTTTCTGAACCCTGGCTTTGGTGTTCCTCAGGCTGTATCTGAGTAGCAAGTTGACCATCTGGCCTAAAACATTTGTTTTTTTTCATGATGATTGATAGTTTTGGACGGATGGTCCCCTTTGTTGCATTTGTGAAGCTAGTTCCACAGAGGGCTGGCTTGAAGCACATCCAGGAGGTGCTATTTGTGAGACAGATCTGGTTGGCAGGCCTCAGATTGATGAAGTCTTTCGGATGAAAGACAAAATGTTTCTCTCTTAAAGAAACTTGTCCAGATGACATGATTTAACCTTTTGTGATGTATCTATACCTGGGTGATTGAGCTTACAAACCCTTTTCTTTTCTACATATTCATAAATGATGTATCATATTCTGTTAGTGAGGCCTCCATTCATTTATATGCCAATGACACTATTTGATATGCCTTTATTTCTATTCCAGATGAGGTTGTGAAGTCCATTGCATGTGGTTTTCTTGAAATCCAGCAGGACTTTTCTGACTTAAATTTGTCCTTAAATGCCAAGAAAACTAAAATTATGTGGTTCAGTCGTGGAGGAGGAACCATGCCCACCTCGGTGGACTTCACCACTATAAACTGTGATATTATAGAAGAGGTAACAGTTTTATAAATATTTGGGAATTTGTATTGATGGTGCTCTGTCCTTTTCACATGGTGTTAAGGTTTGGTAATCTATGGTTAAAGTGTCAGATCACATGTTCTCCAGGCAAATTCAGATAAGATGGCCTTCAAGGCCAGCCAAGGGAGCCAAATTCAGATAAACACAGTTGTTTTGGGGACAGGCAGAACTTAATGACATCTACCTTGAGTCTGTGTTGGTTGACTCGGTTCCGAAATGTCCAAATTACATGGCCACACCGATGGAACGTGACTGAGTAAAATCCCCAAGATCTGATCCATTCTGCCCAAAGCATTTGAGTCTGGGTACTCGAGACATGAAACCAAACCATCATAAAGGCAAGCAGCGTGATCGGGTCCAAATTTGCTGCCAACGACTTCCTTGATTGTAGATAAAACCAGCAACCAGCCGGATCCAAAAAGCAGGAACCAGTTATCGAAAATCCATTTAAATATGCGTCCTTAAAATCCACAAATGGCAGCAGAGATAGAGACATCATCAAGTCTTCCAAGTCGATGAGATATCCAGCTGCGTACGTGCCAACAGGGCAAATCGGCTCGCCCAAAGCCTGTCTTCTCTTCGAAGAAATGTTATCCGTTGTGCTGAGGGACCAACTGATCAAAACAAGTCCATAATTATGGTTCGGAAGAAATGAAGAGAGTCTCAGAAGCAGTTTCACAGACAGACAGAGCAGCAAAGCAAAGTGGAGAGAGAGGGGAGAAGCGTCCGATCTCAGCAAGAGCAAGTGGTGAATTCAACTGCCATGTAACCTGAAACTGAAATGAGCGTGGAAATGTCTTACAGCTCATTAAACTAATACAAATACCTGGTTTGATGGAAATAAAAGGTTTTCCCTAAAAGTTTGTTTCTGTTTTTTGTTTTTGTGATTTTGTGTAACTGATGATGACGTCGGTTTGGAAAGATGTCAAAACATCCGGGACCTTCTGTGACGTAACGAGGCTTTACTTTTGTTCGTTGATGTCGGTTTATACAAAAATAAATCTATTTTTTTTAACTCGTGGTTTGATAGCAACATAATTCTAGTACCTCAGTTAATGAAATGGGAATTTACTGAACTACTCGAGTTCCTGCAAACTTTAGATTTTCCTGTAACCCCAAAAGAATTTGT